TAGCTTTGCGCGAAATTCAAAACAAACAAACAAGCCTTAGACCCATTAAAGAAATGTTCCCTATAATATATGCAGTGACCATTAAGAGTAGGCAAGTGACCGAGAATGTTTATTAATGCTTCACGTAAACTGATAGCAAACACTACGTGCAAGCGACATTTTATTTTTTATGGTTTTTGAAAACGGATTTAAAAGCCTCTTTATGATAAACTAAAGGATTTTATTTCTTCAGGTCTAATTTCTACAAGGAACTAACTAAATGGCTAATTCATGCATTAATTTACTCATTAACTAACTATCAGACTCACTCGCTAACTCTAGCCGGACTTACCCTTTATATCTGCCTTAAACTGCTCTAAAGCATTAGAGAAAATTCCAGGCATTAAGCCACGTGCTTATCATGCGACATGAAGCCTCAACATGGCCAAACAGCAATACAGGTATCTAAATTAAAAACACAGCTCACAACACTAACTCCTCCCTTGAATAACTATTACACAAAGAAAATAATAGTACATTGAACTTCCATAATTAACAATAAACTAACTGTTGACATTAATATTCATTACAATCAATAAATCTTTAATCAAATGTTTGAAACAAACTAAAATTTTAGATGACAAAAAAAACCACATTTCTTTAGTTATTTACTGTCTGTAAACTGTCCAATCACCAAATTGTTTTTGTGTCTTTCATTTTGGTGGCTTATAGCAAGAAGATGGTATAACCTCTTATCCTTTATTGCTACTTGCCATTTCGTCACTGTGAATGTTTGTTTATAGTAAAGGGAATCCACTTATGGTTCCACGCCTGATACTTCAGAAGTAACTTGACAAAAAATTAGGGCTCTTCAGTAGATTTACTTATTTCCAAGAAATATTTCTCTTGAGCTAAGCAATTGGCCTTTCTCACGCTAACATATCTAGAAAGACAACCATGTGAGATCACTCTTGGTTTCAAACGGATGCCTTTCTGGATTCTCCTCTGTTTCATGTTAGGTTCTATGTCTTCAATTTCATGTACTTCTGTCCTTCTTGTCACTGGAAATTGAACCTCTGGTGCTATAATTAGCGAATAGTGCACAGAAAAGTTCTGGGCATAGACCATGAAACAACTTTAAGGGAGCATAACCTCAAATTTGTGCTTCTGCGTAAAGTCGGTTTCAATATGCACTCTTTCATAGTGTTAATTGCCTGTCATGTTGTGTCCAAAAGTTTACTATTGTGAGGGTGACATCCAATTTCTTCTTGTTGGAATTTTATGTATGCTTGCTAGATGCCTCAATCCATCTTCATTCTTCACATCTTGAGGAAGTGACCCAGCTTTTCTTACCAGATGGAGGAAACAGTTGACTTATTATAGACTTCCATTAGAGGGAGCTGATGTTGCCACATTATTTGACCTGATGATCCCATAGTTCCTGGTTGATGCTTTTAATTGTTTATCTGCAACTTTATTTGGTTCAAATTCTATCGCAAAAGGAACATATTCTTTTAACTATACACTTTACACTGTTTAATCTTAACTTGCATCCGTGAATTAGTTGCATGTTAGTAAATCCATTATTTCAAGTGGGAACCTGGATAAGATAATTGGGCAAATCTTTCCACATCTTACGAAGATCTTACTCTTTTTGAAACTTCCCTCTGGTGTGATATACCAGATCTCTTTGATACAACAGCCACTTATTGTGGCTATCTTTGTTGTAAGTTTGATCCTTTTGAATGAGAGAAAAGATGAAGAGGTTGTTGGTTCACTCCACCAGTATACATTAGAAATTATTTCAAATAGTTCCTCACATGTCTCGATTGTACATTTCCATTATAATCTGTTAGTTTGTCAATTAGAAAACGTAACTTTGATACAACAGTCACTTATTGTGGCTATCTTTGTTGTAAGTTTGATCCTTTTGAATGTGAGAAAAGATGAAGAGGTTGTTGGTTCACTCCACCAGTACACATTAAAAATTATTTCAAATAGTTCCTCACATGTCTCAATTGTACATTTCCATTATAATCTGTTAGTTTGTCAATTAGAAAACGTAACTTTGATACAACAGTCACTTATTGTGGCTATCTTTGTTGTAAGTTTGATCCTTTTGAATGAGAGAAAAGATGAAGAGGTTGTTGGTTCACTCCACCAGTACACATTAACAATTAATTTACATAGTACCTCACATGTCTCAATTGTACATTTCCATTATAATCTGTTAGTTTGTCAATTAGAAAACGTAACTTAGTTTCTGAAGTGCGCATTGATGGATAAAAGCCCATTTAATGCTAGTAGTAAGTGACCTTATAACATTGAATTCGTTATTTTTCTTTAATTGGACACTCAACATTTCGCTTTTCAACTTCGTAGGGAGAGTTCCACTGAAACAGCTATGGTTTGTGTATTACTGGGATGCTCTGGAAGAAGCTGTAAATCGAAACATTGAGTGTCAAATTAAATAAAAATAACAAACTTGGTGTTGTAAGGTCGTTTATTACTAGTATCAAAATTGCACAATGTTGTTGTACTGTTCTACCCAATCCCGTAACATGATGAGGTAGTGGTGTGGCTAAAGTAGTCAAGGAAAATCCTGAAATAACACCAATAACACCTGTTTTCCTATACCACGTGGCTTAGTGAATACTGTTTGAGGCTCGAATTCTCGAGCAGATGACGAGACGGATGTGTCTGCTTTCATCCTTGTATTTGTCAGTTCAGTTTCCAGGTTTATTTTCAGAGTGTGGCTTTTATATTTTGCACGTTATCTTGTTGCTAAAACTTCAGTAATGTGCTATATCAGTATCTGCATTGACTTATACTTTTTATTCTCAACGTTACCGTGGCTTTTGTCTGTGAAGGTTTTCTAATTGACCCTATCTCTGTTGATTGGTAACTTTTACCATGTAGCCATGATTACAAAGAGTACAACAAAAATACGTAAAACTTATCCAACACTTTGAAATAGTTTTCATGTTACAATACAACAATGGAACAATCCCATCCGAGCTCATAGTTTGACACAGAGTACTTTATAGTTTGACACAGAGGACCTTATAGTTTGACACAGAGTACTTTAATAGTATTTATATTTTAGTTGTTTTTTTTATTTGTTGTTAAGCACAAAGCTACTCAATTGGCTAGCTGTGCTGTACCTACCACGGGTATTGAAATCCGACCTTTATGGTTATATTTTAAGGAAAGGAAAGGCAGGACTAATTTTAACCTAATACTAGGATTGACTGTAACTCTTGTAACACAACCAAAGCTGCAAAGCCTTATTTGGACTATGACATCTCAAACTTGAGACCCTCGATCGTCAGTTCCATGGATAACCACTAGGTTAAGAGTCATACTGGAAATACCGATATTCTAAAAGACGTTATGTGCATATTAATTGAAAAACTTTCTACCTCTACAAGCATGGCGAGCAATATTTCCCAAGAAAACGTCCTCAAAGACAACAGGGATGTGTTCTCCAACTTCCAAACTCATCACCCAGTGGTATTTTTCTGGAAGATGCTGCTCTTCGGAAAGGTCTAGGAATTTGATGAATCTGTTTTTAATGACGGATTCTATGTTACCTGCACCGTCGAAACCTGCTCGAAATAATATGTACAGCAGTTAAAATATGGTAACAGAATGAAAGGGTAATATTTAAAATTATAGAACAGAAGGGACAGTAATTAAGAGAACAGAATCATGGGATAACATTTAGAATAATAGAATATAATCAAAGGATAACACTTAAAATAACAGAAACAAAAGGATATCAGTTCAAATTAGAGAACACAATCAAAGGATAACACTTAAAATAACAGAAACAAAAGGATAGCAGTTCAAATAACAGAACAGAATCAAAGGATAACACTTAACAGAAACAAAAGGATAGCAGTTCAAATAAGAGAACAGAATCAAAGGATAACACTTAAAATAACAGAAACAAAAGGATAGCAGTTCAAATAAGAGAACAGAATCAAAGGATAACACTTAAAGTAACAGAAACAAAAGGATAGCAGTTCAAATAAGAGAACAGAATCAAAGGATAACACTTAAAATAACAGAAACAAAAGGATAGCAGTTCAAATAAGAGAACAAAATCAAAGGATAACACTTAAAATAACAGAAACAAAAGGATAGCAGTTCAAATAAGAGAACAAAATTTCTGCTTCCATTTAAGTTGAAATATTTTAGGGGGTTGAAAAGAAAAAGGTGTCCAAAGTTTGTTTGGTTAAATTTCCTCAAAACTACTCTATGTTGTCTTGAGCTACTCTTTACCAACAAATAGTGGGAATGACTCTGGAGCGAGCATGTTCAGGGACTGATTTTGTCAGTCTGGAGCTTTAAACACCAGGACATGTCAGACCGACGATCAAAGAGTAACTATGAACATGTCAGACCGACGATCAAAGAGTAACTGTGATAGGTTACGTTTTAATTATAAAATGTAGTATTCATTTTTAGATTTAATTCAAATAAATAAGGGTAGAGATACATTTTATATTCATTTGAAACATCTAGATAATTGTCGTTCATAACACACCATTTACAGATAAATTAATATCACCAAAACTTTAACTTAAACCTTCACAATTGGAAGCTGTTTCTAAAAGAGGGTAAGCGACAAATATTGGCTTAAGGTCAGACTTTTTTCAGCAATAACCAGGTTAATATTCAGTTTAAGCTTTAGTCACGCTTCACAGATCACAGTAGTTTAACACAGTTGCTCAACTATAACTTTACTCGTGTTTGAAGTGACATCAAAGATTTTAATTGTTATAAACTATACACTTTTACCAGTCCAACTTGCAATCTTCTGTGGCTCCTTCAAGACAGCTACAACCTCAGATCTGTTTAAAAATATCGATTCCTCCACTGTTGGACTATAAGGCATCAGGCGATCTCCTCGTCTCAGAAGGTAGCGACCGTAATGTCCTAATCCACACCCAAAATCTCCAACAGTTTGGTGTTTAAACAAATTGTCTAAGGCTGCTGAAAGCTTCGGACACCACATATTATTACCTCCTTTTATCGGGTCCGTTGGCGACAGACAAAATCCTCCTCGTGTTCCGATTTTCAAAGAACGGCACGACACTTCTTCTATAAGAGCACGAAGATGGTTGATTTGTAAACTGGAAGTAGACTCAAGTCTCTTGGCAAATGGCTTTTCATAACTTCCTCTTAACATCCAATGCACCAAAAGGCTTGCAAGAAATCCAATGAATAGTCCCAGTAAAATAGATGGTAGTTGTGGCTTCATTGGTTGTAATATTTTCATTCTAAACACATGTAAAATTATAAGTTAATTATACTTTCACAGCATTTTTATCTCGTTATGATATGTTCAAATTGCTTTAATGTTTAGTGTGATAATAAATATTTAGTTTAAAAATATCTAGAAACAATAACTCACACTTTAACACTAACAATTATACTTGCCATAAGACAATAGTATTAGGCCTATTACATTTTTAAACACTACTTTCTTTTTCTAGTATTTGTTGTTTCCCAGCTACCCTGAAGATCTCTGGATTGAGCAAAATGCGTCGTCGGCAATGGATATTATAAGTATAGTGTGGTTGGAATGTTGTTATTATAAATTCTTCTATTTTTTTTAAATCCACAAGGGACTAGATAAAGAATGAAGTGTTTAAAAATGTGATATGCTTAATACTAATGTGTTATATAAAACAACCCAGGTGTCAGATACAAACATTATTGCCAAGAATTAGACCAATCACGACAGTTTGATTACAACGCTAAAATAATACAACATGGAGAACGATGTTCGGAAGTGGAATTGTTTGTTTGTTTGTAATTAAGCACAAAGCTACACAATGGGCTATCTGTGCTCTCCTGCCCACCACGGGTATCGAAAC